TTGGAGATGCATAATAGTTAAAGGTAGACCAAATCCGGAATGAGAGAGGGGTTGCTCGTAGCTTCGACCGAGAGGAGGTCACCGGATGTGGAGGACCTCCGAGGGCGATGTGGAAGAAGCACTAGGGAGAACCCCTATCATCGAAAAGAAAAAAGTCGAGTTAACTAACAAATCTACTTCCATACCCTTTGGGATATTTATCTTACTACTTTCTAAAGAAAATTTTTAGTACAAAATTTTTAGCTAAAAAAAATTGCATACGAAGAAGCTGTTTTAGAAAGTTGTAAGAAAATTTTCCCAAATGAATTCGAAATCTACAAAGATTCACTGCAATAAATGACCAAATTAGAGGATGGATTGATGAGCAAAATTCTACTCAATACAAAAAGTATTATTAACATTTCAAAGATTAAGAGGTCATTTACTAAAGAAATCAAGTCATCAATCATACATCATTTCAAATTATGATCAAATGTTATAGTTTTTGATATATTATTTTCTTCATTGAAAATTATTATTTGGTCCCATTATTTGAAAAAAAAAATATGCTCATTAATAATAATAATAAACAATTATTTTATCTTTCCAAGTGGCCATTTGGATGATATATTTTCAATAAGTGGGTTATATATTAATTATTTTCACAAGTATAACAAACAAATTATAAAATTATTTGCTAGAAAAAATAAAGTTTTAGCCTTTATTATTTTTTATAAATATCAGTGATTAATGTTTTGAAGCATACGATCAACATTTACACTTATTTGACTAAAATCATTATTACTAATCACAATTTTAATGACATAATTAAGAGTTAATAGTAAATTCTATCATTGAAGAATATGAAATTTTAGCTCTTTCTCCACTAAGCTTATGAGTTCAGAGTATCTTTTTCTGTGCCCACAAATATTTTTTCAAAGTAACATAGCTGAGGGAGAGTGAGTCAGAGATGAAGCTGACAAATAAATAGGCAGCAAAGAGTTGCTACATATAAAATTCAATAAAGGAAAGTTGGAAAGTAACTGAATGAATAGAAAACTTCACTGATAAATTAATAAATAAGAGGTTCTGTAAAGATAAATACAAACAGTAAATGAAAAATCAAACAAACAACATTAAAGCTAGATAGGGGAATAATCTTCTTGTTGGGTTCAAATGTGTTCGTATGCGATAGAGACGTGTCATTCTTTGGTTGGCTAGAAGGGGAAATGATTATTATTGAACCTGATTTGTCTATCTCTGGATGAGCTTGATAATGCCGAATGCATATGGGTGAGCAAGCTTAGGCAACTGACTCGCCTACATTTGCTCGCTCATATTCACTCGACATTATCATGCTAGGCATAAGACAGAGAAAGAAGGTTCAATGAAGGCCATTAGTCCCTGTAGCTAGCTAGAGAATGACATGTGCCTAGGGCAGTATGTAGAGTCATTGAGTCGTATCTTTTTTTTTTTACTCATTTATTAATGTATCTTTTCATGTGACTCTCAGATCACTATAAATAAAGAGTGAATGAGCATTTTGGATCTTTTTTGAATCTAGTGTACCATTTGATATTTTCTATAATTAGTGTTACTTATCCCATAGATACTTAAGCTAGTACTCTCTCTCTCTCTCTCTCTCTCTCTCTCTCTCTCTCTCTCTCTCTCTCCATTATCACATGATTTTTAGTTAAAACTCATAGGATCTCCTACTAGCTAGTAAGGTTATGTATCATCCATAAACTTTTTTTTTTATTATTTTGGGGGGGGGGGGATGGGATGGAAAACCCATATTAATTAAAATGGGGACCTTCAGCTCACTAATACTCTGAAGGGCTACAAAAAAAAATTCAAAAGAAAACATACGAGACAAAAGTCCTCACATATCAGAAAAATAAAATGACCTTGTAACATATTAGGGCGGCCAGAAACTAGCTTAAAAAAAGATATAATCAATTACTTTACACAAAATCTTCCTACAAAAATTGTTGACCACTAGATAAACCACCTGCTCAACTCAATGGATGCTAAGCATAATAAAGTTGCACATAAAATCATAGAAATAGTACAATAAGTTTGAATCCAATACTCTTAAACAACATTAATAGAAAATTATGATAAACAATTTACTAAAATTAAAAAATGCAAAGTCAAGCTAAAAATGATCAAAGTGGAGATTTATTATTGAAAATTTCTTTAATTTTAAATGAATTTATTAAAAAATATATAATTTTTTTTCTGCAAATAGTAATTCCTTAGCTTTAGTTAATTAAAAATCCAATCGATGTACTAAATGTTCTGTAGTTTGGTTGGATAATTGGATCCGTACCGACAAGAATGCACGTGACTCATGCTACCAAATCTATCGACTGTTTAAAAAAAAAAATTACTCAATTGTTGAAAAAAAAACTGTTTCCTCTTAGAACCGTACACGACCTGTTGCTCATAAAATTCAAAGTATATATGATAGCCTCATAAATTTGTTCAAATTATCAAAAGTATTCATTTTAATCCTTATTGGACACTAAGAACAATGAAGCTATCAAATTAATTCATTCAATTAGCCAAAGTTTTTTTTGTTTATGTCATCAAATGATTTCACCCAAAATTGAAAGATCTCGACCTGACCCGAAGGGTTTTTTTAGAGAAAAATTATTGCGTGCGGTGTTTGCACGTGTCTAGAGATCAATCCGTCACCCAATGTACTATATATTGGATGACGTGACACATCTGGATTGAATTCTGGATGAGTTCAGACTCCGCACAGAATAATCTCTCCTATTTGCGATAATTTTTTGAATGTTTTATTTTTTAGACAACAATCATAATTTAATTTGGCTACTACATTATTGTTGTTTTCTCGCTATCTTTTGAAAAATTTTGTGTTGTAAAGATGTTTTCTACAATCATAATAGTAAAGTTATTTTCTCTATAGTAATTTTATATTAAACTTTTTAAAACACTACAACGTCTTAAACATGCTGGAAATCATCGAAGAGTTGTATGAAATTATCGCTTCTAAATGAAGTCGAGAGGATCGACTTCTATTGAACTTGTTCATTGTTATAATAAGCTTTTGTTAGGCATTAATTTGTTGATTAATTTAATTTGTATAACTTAAATGTGGCACTGTTGTGTAGCATTGACTTGATTTAAATATTTAAATAGAGGGTTAGAATATGAGAATAATGCATTCAATCACTTCTATAAATCTTGTATTTTTTTAATAATATTATGAAAACAAAATCTTCTAATGTTTACTCTTTTCTTTAATTTTTTTTATTATCATTAGCTTGATTTATGCTTATTAGTAAACTTCTGAATTTTATATCTTAATAATATATATAAATTATAACTATTTTATATCTTTAATTATAATGTTTTCCTACTTATTAATCACACTACAGGAAAACACGCGATTATTATCAGAACTTCCTGCGGAGCGTTTAGCGCCGGTAAAATACGGCGCCTGAAACGGCCCATGCTGCGACGGAAATTTTACAACGTATTTTACGGCGCATTGGACGTCAGAAAGTGTCCGACGTCACATACGCCGGAAAGTACGTCAGCGAAAACCATCATTCTTTAAACTTTATAAAGCATATAAAAATTAGATAAAAATATTGACATAATATTTAAGTAAAATTCATATCATAATGAATTTCATTGTTTTTATAATCTTGTTGAGATTAGTGCAACCTTTAATTATAATATATAGCAAAAAAATTTATGAAAATTAAGTCTATTAGAACATAAATTTTATTAAAATATTATGATATTATTATTTCTAATTATAACTAAAAAAGCAAATGTATTAAAGTTTTGAAAATTTTTTAATTAATGTATTTTGAATGTATAATTTTATTATATTTATTATTGAGGGAAATTTTATATTTTTCATAATACAATACTGCCAAGTCAAGCCTAGGACAAAATGGCACGGAAACAAAGGTACTCATATAGGGAATAGTCGCACAGCTAAAAAGTGTGCTCTACAGTGCGCCGTCTGAGCGAAGAGCGCATCACAGCGGGTACAAACGAAGAAGACAAAGAAGGCCGCACAAACGGCCACAGATAAACGGATTGCTTGGTTCCCTAGTGGGCCTGCTTTGGTCAACCAAGTCAATGGCTCGAGCTTGTTCTATACAAATGTTAGTCATACGGTCAACGTAAAATATAAATTTTTATAGAATCCTACTTTATAGAAAACTGATTTATAGCTAATAAGTCTCAAATTTCGTCCAAAGGTTTGACTAACAATCTCTATAAAAAAAGAAAAGTTTTGAAAATTTACAGTCTATGAGTATTAGCATTTGAAAATCAGAGCTGAGTTGTAAGACTTTGCAGATCTCTCTCTCTTTCTCTCTTCTGAGAACTTAAGTGTCTTTGACAAACGTGCATGAGAGCAGCATTCGCTCATGCAACTTTCTCTCTCTATCTCTATATCTTTGTCTCTCTTTCTCTCTCTATTCATATTGTGATATTTGGAGGTTGAGATCATATATATTGGAAGGTTTAATGATTTAGTAGAAGGTTTAATATTGAAAAATAATGCTTGTTCTGATTAGATTGAGTTAGGTTTTATAATAAAAACAATGTAATATTTTTTTCTTTAATTATATAAATAATATTTATTGAGTAATAAAAGTGGTATTTACATTCACTAAATTTATAAAAATTAATTAGAACATTCAGTAAGGTTTATGATAGAGAGAAAAATGGATTTGGATCTACGAATATGAGTAATTTCTCTTAAATCACATTGCTTCTTTAAATAAAAGATTGCATTAATTATTATCACAGCTCTACTTTTCTATTAATAATTTAACAGGAAAAACTTACAATCATAAAAAATATTTAATTTAAACCTTGAAATAATACTGAATCCTTTAAAAATATTCTTTTTTTTTTTCTAATGAGTTTTTCTTCTCGATGAATCAGGCAGTTGAAGGAAAACTAATTGCAGATAGAGCCGGCAAAAAGGATAAAAAAACGTATATATATCTAACTACAAATCAGAGAAAAAACAGAATAGTAATTATATATGAGAAATTAGTCTCTGTAGAAGAAATATGAAGTAACAAGATCGATCCTACAACAGCAATAAATTTAAGAACAGCAGCAATACAACAAAATATAGAAGTTCTCTTACAAACAAAGCGTAAAACATTACTACTACAGATGATATTCATTTGATTCTTCCACTTCTTTTACTTTCTTTCTCTTATTCCCATTACTCTAACTTCTCTTCTTACCGAAGAGTACCACTAGCAAACGATCGGGTTGACGAAGCTGGCTTCATCTCACTATCCAAAGATCCAGAAATATCAATAGCGCCATGATGCTGCTGCTCTCTTTGAGAAGAAATTCCTCCTCCCATACTCCTTAACAAGTTTCCAACTCCGAGAAAATCTCTAGTCAAGCCATTATTGTGATAACTCCCTTCATCTATATGACAAAAACCAGCATTATAGTCACCAAACTTAGCTTCTTGGTCCCCACGTCGACTAAATATTCCGGAGTTTCCATTAGCAAAGGAGTTCATTATATCTTGCAAATGATTCTCGTTTTCTACATGAGACCTCGTGGAAGACGAGCTTCCGAATCCTTTAATGCTGTTATTACTTGAAGTAGCGCCCATCTGAGCTGCCTTCTGAAGCAAAGCTGTTGCTGACATTTGAGGAAGATTAACTGAATCGTTTTGTAGTGAAGTGTTGAAGAGAGCTTGCATTCCACCGCCCATTTGATCGTAGAGATTGGAAGGCTCGGGGTTATTGGAAGGGAATTGATCTTGCATCATGAGTAGATGGTGAGGACTTTGGTTGAAGAGATTGGGCGTCGAAGAAGAGGTTGAGTTTGGCTGTAGATCGGGAAGTTGCATTAAGGTGTGAAAGGGAGGTTTGTTTTGGAAGTTATCGGTGGAAAGGAAGAAGCTTGGGGAAGGAGGAGGGTGCGTGGAGCGGAAGGAGGAAGGTTGGGAAGGGGAGATGAGGTGGTCGCCAAGGCGGAGGAGGTCAGCGGCGCCGCCTGTGGCAGAGGTAGGTGGATGGGTTTGGTTATGGAGGGAGGAGAGGTGGGGGTTTACTTGAGATAAGCCAAGGTTGATGGCGGCGCCAGAGTAAAAGTGGCTGGATATATTAGTAATGCCGGTGGGGATTCTGGCGCTTTCTTGAGCTAGAGCGTCGCAAAATGCTCTGTGGGTGATGAAGCTGTCGCGCCTGCAAGGCAAGGAAGAAGAAGATTAAGATTTTTTTTTTTGCAAACTATAAGGTTGATGAAATATTGTTATAGGACTAACATTTTTTTTTTTCATAATAAAAATAAATGCTTGATGTTGTTGTTGTATAATGAAAATGATATTATCATGCCTACAAGTTAAAATAAGAAAAAAATTATGATAGGATATTTATATGCAAATCATATTAAAAAAATATTCAAAACTTTTTGATTTATGAATGTTTCGTTTGGGATAGCTTCCTTACTGCTTTTTAAAACAGCTTTTAAGTATAAAAATTTGTTTTAAGAAGCTGTAAAAGGACTCTTCCAAACAAAATCAATATGTAGGAAAAGAGAATTAAGATGAATGAACTTTAATTATAACTAATGAGCAAGATTTTACTTTCTACACTCAGAAAGCTGTTATTAGGATGTTATTCTTTGCCAGACATTGTTGGTTTGTATGTAATAGATGAATGTTTATTATATCTAAAAAATCTATATATTGTTAGATTTATCAGATATTTCAGGAAGAATGGCAGAAAAGGAAATGGTTGGCTAAAATAAGGTCATCTATGTTGTAAAAGTTAGAGATAATGTTAGGTTAATAAAGAAAGGGATTCAAAAACAAAATGCAACAAAGCATGATTGCTGAATAATATGCCTAATTTATTAGGATGGAATGTAGTAATGGCTTCAATAATCCACATAGAATTTTGCAAGTAGAATATGCACATAAGATTGAACAGAATACGCTTCATTTGAGACGGCTTCAGCTTTCTAGTATAAAAAATTTACATTTTGTACTAAAAGTCTGCTTCATGAAGTAGTAAAAGAGCCGTCCCAAACGAAGTCTAAGTTAGTTGTTTTAGCATTTCTTAAACCATAAAGAGAGATAGAGATAGATATAGAGAGCGATGAAGAAATATGTCAATGATACATCATATAAGCTAAAATGTTGAAAATTAAGGTGTAAATATAGAAAGTACTGATCACTGTAAATAGTAAAAAGTATTTTTTAATGAAATAAAACGTTTTTTTTTTTAATTTTAGGTTAACTTTAACTCAAAAGAATACACAGTGTCAGTTACAGATAAATAGATATGATCAGATAAACATAAAACAGGCAAAAGTTCAGTAACAAATCATTTATTTTATAAATAGTAAATGTTTAGCTAAAATAAAATTATAAGCTGTAATGAAATGTTTTTCAATCATATTTGAACAACATATAAATTGATTATCTTTTCAATTATGAAAGGAAGAGAATGAATTTTTTTTGCCTAGCATGATCAATTAAGCAAATTTTGTTTAAATTTCTCACCTCAGAAAGCTGAAGGGAGAAAAAAAAAAAAGAAAAAGAAAGAAAAACCATCTAACGTAGAAAATCTAAGAAGTGCATTTCATTCAATGTCATGGAGGATATAAACTTGAAATTTGCCTTAAATTTGAAAACGAGTTGTACCATGTGAAGAAAGAGCCACCATTTTTAGGACTGCGTCTTCAATAAATGTAATGAAGAATTTATGCAAGAAAGATGAAAAACTTCTTCTCCTCTTCATCAATTCCCAATTCAATGTATTCAAGTGTCTTTCAAAGACCTGGAGCCTCAGATTTCCAGTGTATGAATATTTACCAAGAACATACAGCCCTCTTCACATTCAATTCTCACCTCAACATTCTTCAATCCTTTCCATTTTACTCTTCAATTCCTCCCATTTCTTTCACATTTCATGGAATCAAATTCTCTCTCCCTCTCTCTATCTCTCTCTCACTGAAGAGAGGAAGAAGACGGGTAAGGACTCTACACAATTTCCAACCCTAAGGTTCTAAACGTTTTCATGAAAAGGTGGACCTGTGAGAGGCGAAAGACCTGCTCACAACTAGCCAACCCATAAAAGAACAAGACCCTGCTCTCTTGCTTACATGGCAACACGTGAACGATGAGTGAGAATGGCAGAGGCGTGCCTTCCGAGGAGAAAGACACCATCCTTTTATCACCACAAATACTTTACTCATACAAAAAATACACAGAAACTCACATATAAATATATAACCATTTCATAAGTTACCTTCATAAAAATACTTTAGAAATAAATCAATTAGTACTATAAATTTTAATTTAATAAATAATAATAAAAATCTCTCTCTCTCTCTCTCTCTCTCTCTCTCTCTCTCACAAACACACACACATAGCTACTTGTGCAATTCACGTGTGAGCAGTTCCTCACTACCCTCCTTCTTCCTAGCTCCTCACACCAGAAAGGACGCCCGATCTTTTCCCTCTCCAGCTCAGGAATGATAGCCCATAACAACCCTAATCCTAATAAAATAAAATTAAAAAATCTAACTTTTTGAAAGGTAGAAGAAGGCGAGGAAATCCATGTTGATTGGTGTTCATTATGATGATGATGATGATCATCATCATCATTCATACATGCATGCATTATAGAATTTAAAAACAGATAGTTAAATGAATTAACCTTGAGAAGAGAGTTCCACAGTCACAGCGATACTCTCGAGTCCCACAGGTCTTAGAATGAGCCTTCCAATCAGACTGGACTGCATATCTCTTTGAACATTTATCGCACTTCCACTTCTTCTCACCGTGCTTACGACAAAAGTGCTTCTTTATGCCTGTTAAGTCTCCAAGCGCTCGCGATGGGTCATGGTGAACACAAGTTGGCTCCGGGCAAAGATAAACACGCCGCCTTACTTCCTTATTACTTTTCTGCTTAAGCTTCCATGGCAAGTTATGTCCTCTCCTATGAAGCTGAAGGTTTTGCTCTCGTTGAAATCCTTTATTACAAACTTCGCAGATGAATCTGTTTGTCGCCATTAGTGTCTTAGGAGATAGAGCTATCACCTCCGCATCTGGATCTGTTCCATTATTTGAAGTGAGAGATAGAGAAGAAGCTAGCTTTAACATTCATGGGAATAAGTTCATGAATTCAGACAAGTAAATTCAAGTGTACGTATAATGAATAGTATAAATTTCGACAAATTAAGAAATCATGAAATATTAATTGGGGAAGAATGGAACTAAGATACTTGCTTGGATTTCCAGGGAGGTTTCTCTTTTTCTTAACAGGAGCGGGTACTTGGAGATTGGATGAAGAAGACGGGATGGACGAGGTTGGTGGTAGGACTGGAAGCATCTGCTGTTGCTTTAAGTGGTTGAGGCTTTCTTCATCTCTGATACCAAAGAAAGGAGAGGAAGACGAAGCCGCCGCCATCTTTGCTTACAGGTTAATAAGAATTCCCTTCTTGTTGATGATGAAGCTGGAAAATATCATTGATATGTCGAAATCAAAGCAAGTAAAAAAAATTCATTCATGGTACCCAACATAGTTAGAATCATGATTGCACATCGGTTAATCATTTTTGGTCGAGTCTTCTCTTTATGAATCTAAAAGACAAGGGAAGAAAACACAAGGAATTAATGGAAGAAGGTAAAGAGATCACGAAATAATTCATAGTACATAAGTTTTCTGCAACATCACTTCGTCGGCAGCGATAACAAAAACATCCAAACTTAACCACCTGAGGACTCTTCCTAGATCGACAAAAGAACAAATCGGAGGTGGAAATCCAAACAAACAGTTGCACTCAAAACTAGTAAAGGTAAGAAGAGAGAGATAGAGAGAGAGAGGAGAGAGAGAGGGAGAGTTAGTAAGAGAGAGAGAGAGGTGGGGAATTAAGAAGAAAACAAGAGAAGAAAAGAATAGGAAAAAACACAAACCGTGCCAAATATCTCTCTCTTCCTTTGCCCTCTTTCAACGGCTCCTCGTCCTTCTCCGCTCTATCTTCTTCTGCTCCTCTCTATGGGGATTGCAGCGAAGGCGGCCAAGAAGGCTTGTCTGGTTTCCTTCATTTCCTTGTCATACCTTTTCTTCTCGCTCTCTTCCACAGTGATGCGGCCTCTTCTACTTTTTTTTTATGTATTTTTCCTTTCCCCACCCCTTTGCTCCACAAATAAAAATACTTTCTAAATTAATAGAGAGAGAGAGATAGAGATGCTCATGGAAGTCTCACACAGGCAAAGCGGTGTCTCTATGTGGCCATGAAATAGGGGTCCACCATCTGCAGGCCTTGGTAAAAACCATATATGCACCATTCTTACCTTGAGAAAGACTTCAAAATTTGGTCTAATACGCTTGATTTTTGCTTCCATGACATAACTAATTTTCATATTCTAAACTTCTTTTTAATAAAATAATATCAGTAATGCAGCAAAGAACAATAATGTATAATAATTCATGTTTAGTTTTAAAATTATTTTCATAAAATAAGGAAAAAAATTCCTCATAAAATATCCTCATTAAAATTTTGAGAATGATGCCTTGAGCTGAAACTTTGCCTGTACAGGAGTATTATGGAAGAAAAGAAAAGGCTAAGATTACTCTTAAGAGGATTGAGAGGCTAGCAAATTGTATTCATCAATTAAAAATAGGCTCTGGACCGCCAATTACATGAAAAATTAGCGCCTTAATTAGTTTACTACCCACCGTGGGGTGGCCTGGTGGTGGAGAACTGGCTGACCATAGGCGAGGTACAGAGTTCGAATCCCCTCGGCGCTTCGTGCAAGCCTTAAGTGTTGGCTCGTGTAATTGGTGTGGGTTGCATGCTAGGTCGACCGGGTTATCCCCTAACCGGGATGATCTGTTTAATTTTTTTTTTTAATTAGTTTACTCTATGCACTTAGCAAAGGGATGCTCTAATCTTATGAGGGTAGGGTCCTAATTAATACCAGTAGATGATTGCCTCAACTAATGAAGATCTAGAATAATTTCTAATGTTCTCTATTATTTTTCTCCTAAAAATATAATTGAGTGTGATTACTGCAAATTCTTTGATCTTGATTTATAATATGAATGATTGGGATTGATTTTAGCTTAAATTGATTAGAAATTTCTTAATGATTTTGATTTAAGCTATTTTAATAATTTTGGTCAAAATCAATGAGTTTCAATGATTATTCTTGCAAAACTCAATAGTTCCACAAAAGACTTGTAAATTTTTAAAAAATGAAATCACTAAAATTCTTTAGTTGTAATATATGATTTAGTAATATTTTATTTTTAGGATCTTATTAAATTTAAGGAGGATTTACATAATTCTTAAGCATGTATTTTAAATTTTTATATTTAGATAAATAGCGTCTTTGCTTATCAATAACATAAAAATGTCACTTATGTAAAGTTTATTTTTTAAATTAAACTCACTGACTGGCCTATGCGTTAATACAAACAATGATTATAAGTTCTTAAGAGGGATGAATAGCTCGCTACCGCTCAAAAGAGCTATAATCAAAACAGGAAAAGAAAATCCTAAGAGCCATAGATCCCAAAACTAGTTACAATCTAGAAAAAAAACCTATGAGAAATCTACGGGATGCTAGGAGCCATCCAAAAAAATGGAGATCCCAAAAAAGATGGTTAATAGAAAGAAGCTCTAAAAACTAAACCACAATGAAGCAACATAAATATAAGTGAACATAGCAGCAATACAAGCTGCCAATGCCCGAATCAAATTGAACCCGTAAGAGCATCGAAATATCTAGATATTCCAACATAAATCATAAATAAGAAGCTCTAGAAATTCATCAACAACAGTAGTCTAGTTACAGATATCAACGAAAAATAGAACAGAAGAGCAAGATAATGAGAACCCAGATGCTGATCACCACGAGCAGATTTATGTTGATCCAACTAGTAGTACGTAAGTTAATTTTTGTAGTTACATTTTAATGTGTTTTATGAACTAATGTACTAAAAAATTACATATAAAATTTTAAATGTATGATATATAAATAGATAATTATTTAGTGTTATGTAAATAAATCCTTCTAAATTTAATGAATAAACTCGGTAGATACCTCTTTATCTTATACATTTCTTCTTCTTTTTTTATAAAATTTATCATTGAAAAGAAGCTTATAAAATCATGAATGCTAAAATTAATATAATATCAAAATTAATTATACTATCAAAATTATTGTAACCAATTTCCTTAAGGTAGGGCCAAATTAGAATAAAAATAATTTTCAAAATGAAAAAAATATAAAGAATTTTTTTGGATTATATGTTGGACAATGTAGCTTTCCTATTTCTTAATTCTTGCTTTTAACTAATATTTTTTTTCCTATGCACACTGGTGATCGATTTGATTTGTACTGGTAGGCCTTAATCTCTGCCCTTTCTTCCCCCATTATTTCCTTATATTCTTCCACCCTCATGTCAAGACAAACACTCAGCTTCATCACCCCTTTCCATCCCTTATAAAAAGATATTATTAGTGAAATAATTGGTGTTACTAGTCTTCAAATTTATAATAAAGCTCTGAATTATTAATAGTTGAAAGGTGGAAAACTTTACTAGTTCGGAAGTAGCTTCTTCTTGATAGTTAATCTCCTATTCTTGAGTGTTCCCAACTACTGCCGCAAGGAATTTAGCTAATACTCCCTAATATCCATTATTAGATAGAAAGATTTCAAGCCTTAATAAGCACATATTTTCATTTAAGACTACTCTGCTCTTTTCTCACTAAATTAATTCTTTTTTTTTTTCCATTTATACTTGTCAGATGTCGTGTGCCATCACCAAGAACAAAGGGAAATTTGTTTATTCTATTGCACGTCAATGCTCCAAATCTTGCCTTTCATTCTATCGAATGAGTTCAACTAGTGATTTACTTAGTTAAATAGTAAGGCTGCGCATATTTTAAACTTGCGAATATTTATTCCGCTACAGCTTTTTCATAATTTTAAGATTCTTTAGCTAGCTTATCTCGGTTTTGTGAAGAAAATTTTAAAGGGAATTTGCCCCCCCCAACAATATCTTCCATGTCTCAAGATAGTACTATGGATTGTAAAATTTTAAATTTTTTTTTTCCAAAAAAAAATTTAAAATTTTATGCAAATTAATATGGCTATATTTTTGGTTATGGTGAACAATTTTAAGTATACAACGCGATTGAATTTTCTATTATTAATAATGTTTTTTAAGAGTATGGCAGAAGTTAACTACCATTTATTTTTTCTTTTGGGTGAGCTTTGTTTCTTATAAAAGATTTTATTGGTGTTGAGCTTAGCTATCTTCTTGATGAAGGTTGTTTGGGTATGGAAGGCTTAATGATCAGCTTAAAATTCTTGACGTGGGTTGTTTGTGCATGGAAGGCTCATGCTAACCTTCTTAGGTTTGGAAGAAGTTGTGTGACATTTAGTCTTTTGGTGGTCGTTTGATTGATATGGGCTTTGGATTTGGTTTTGCTTCATTTTGGATGGATAAGTAAGTGATTTAGGTCCTTTTAAGTATTTCCTTTCTAATCAATGTTGTTGTTTTTTATCCCAAGAGGGGAGAGCATATGCGCTAATGTTCTAACAAAGGAATACAAGTCACTAAAGAGATTGATAGCTCACTAAAGCTCAGAGAGCTACAATAAAAAAAAAGAAAAAAAGTCTTGAGAGCCAAAGATCTCTGTTTGCCTACAAAAGGAAATGCAAAAAAAAAAAGGAGGTCGTCGGCAAGGAGTCAAACCCAAAAGCAGCCCCAAGCTGAGATAAGCAGTCAGCACATACAACAGAAGAATAACAAACAAATGCCGGAAAAATGTCGACGAGCCAAGCTTAAAATTGGTGTGGTATGGTTTTATTGTCTGGTGGCGCTGGTAATCTCATCCCTTTAACTATTTGTATTGATGTTAGGTAGATTGGGTTGCTAATTGTTATATGGATTTGGTTCTTTGGGCTGACGGCTGCCTTCTGGGTATTTTTTTTTCTTGTAACTTTGGCAACCATTTGGTGGTTCTCTATTTGCTGCTTTTTGGTGCTTCTCGGGTCTATGTCTCTCTGTTCTGCCTTTTCATTTAATATTCTTGGATGTTTGGTGGTTGTAGTATGTTTTGCAGGTAGGGGCTGCTATAATTTTGGAAATTATGGTGCTGTTATGCACCAGGTTGTTGTGATGTTCCTTATTATTTTTCATAGTTGGAGTAAGTTGCTCCTTTTTCTGCCAGAGGCTACAATTTTTGCCTTTATTGGTACTAGAAGTATGGCAGACATTTAGTTTCCTACCTTATCTAATTTTGTTAATCACAACTGTTTGATTTTGTCTTTATCATTGCTGGTTCCATCCTCCTTGCGACTTTATCCCCTTGAGTTGAAGATTCTTTATTTTATAGAATTGGAGGCTGGACGACTATCTTGACATTTTTTTGCAGGAAGATTGCGCGTTCAAGGTTTTCTTATAGGTGTGGGTTTACCTTTTTTTTGTAGGAAGTTGGTGCTAATTGGTTTATTCTTGCGCTTCCTTTTTTGGGTGCTGAATACTTGCAGCACTAAAATGTTCTTAGAGATTTTTGTAATTCTTAGTATAATAAACCATTGGCTCTTAGGTTTTTTTTTTTTTTTACTTTATTTTGTAGTTCCTGTGAGTATTAGTGAGCTGGATGTTTCTTTTAAGGATTTTGTAATCCTATTTTATATTAACACGTAGGCCCCTCCATGGATTTCAAAAAAAATAATAATAATAAACGTCTACGAGCCAAGCACCCAGTGACAAAAAGCCAACTTACTAGCAGAACGATGAAACAAGAGAAGAACAATGCACACACCCTATAAAGGACAATGGGGTCTTGGGGTAGGAAATATCTTTTTTTGGCAAGATAAATGGCTTGGCAATGATTCTATTGACGCCATTCTTAATACTTCATCCAATTCATCGCTTAAAGTGAACTACTTCTTCATTAATAATTGTTGGGATATTGATAAGCTGCCTAATGTTGTTCCTGACTGCATCCTTCAACGTATTTTAAAGATGCCTATTAATATTAACTCTAAGGATATTATTATCTATAATTTATCTAAACATGATCATTTTTATCTTAAAAAGCTTGGAATGCTTTTAGATCCAAAGGTAATTGTGAGAATATTTTTACTCAAATTTGGTACAAGAACATTCCTAGCACTATTTCTATTTTTGTTTGGAGAGCTTTACATAGATATCTTCCTACGGATGATAATCTTATTAATAAGGGTTCATTCTTGCTTCCAAGTGTCAATGTTGTTTTCACAACGAGAACATGCATCATGTTTTGATTTCTGGTCATGTGGCGGTGAGGACTTGGGTTTATTTTGATGATTTATTCAAATTAAATTGTTTTAATTCTCACCTCTCTCTTAATTTTTTTCTGAATTGTTGGTTGGTTAATTTTAAAGGTCATATTCGGAATATTATAACTTGCCTTATTTTGTGATTTCTTTGGTTGGAAAGGAATAACTCCCTTTTTAACGGTGTTAGGATGGGACATCATAATGTCATTCAGAAAGTTGAAGATAAGGTGGCGGCAATTTTATTTCTGGCTTTTTTGCAGGAAGACTGAGCGGAATGTCATCATTTTGTGCTTCCTTTTTTGGGATCTGTTGACTCACAGACCTAGGTTAATGTTGTATTATTTTTGTAATTATAGAAAAAGGAACCACCGGCTCATAGGTTTTTATTTTGCTTTTTTACTTGTAGCTCTTTCGAGCATTAGTGAGCTGGAGGTTCCTTATAAGGACCTTGTAACCGATTTTTGAATATTAACACATAGGCCCCATGAGTGGCGGCACTTATATCTGCCAATCTCACCTTTCTCTTAAATTTTTTCTGAATTGTTGGTTGGTTAATTTTAAAGGTCATCTTCGGAATATTATACCTTGCCTTATTTTGTGGTTTCTTTGGTTGGAAAGGAATAACTCCCTTTTAACGGTGTTAGGATGGGACATCATAATGTCATTCAGAAAGTTAAAGATAAGGTGGCGGCACTTATATCTGCCAATTTGATCTCTATTAAGCATTTTAAAAATTATTTCTGTGTGTTTGAAGCTTTAGGTGGTAACTTGGATCCTTCTATTTCTGTTGTGCGTACTTTTCAGTGGATCAAGCCCCCTAGAAATTTCTATAAATTAAATATTGATGTGAGTATTTCTGGAAATGTTGCTGGTTTTGGTGGGGTCATTAGGGACAGCAATGGTTTACTTGTTGCTGGTTTTACGGGGCCTTTGAATATTTGTGATTATAATCCTGCTATGAATAAGACTATTCTCTATGGTTGTCAAGTTTGCACAACTCTTAATGTTTTTAACTTAATTATTGAAGTTAACTCTGCCTTCAATTTTATCCCTCTTGTTGCTGAGGTGGATTCTTGTTGCAATGCTAATAGTTTTTATCTTATTCGTGATATTAAGCAGCAGCTATTGTGTTTTAATTATTCTTTTCATCATATTATGAACGGGGGTAATGTCTGTGCATCTCAGCTTGCTCGGTGGGGCTATGATCTCATTAGAAATACTGATTTTTTCAGGATCAATTGTCCTAATCAGCTTAGGGGATATCTTAAACTTGAAGAGAATGAGGTTCCTTATGTTAACGATTAATGCTTGTTTGCTTTTGGTGGCTCATAATTCTATTGCTTTGTTTCATGTTATGCTCTGTTATTCTGCTCTGTTCTATTTCTTCTGTCTATATGCGGCGATGGCTTTTAATTATGGTAGCAATTTTTGCTCCGTTGCATTGTTTGGTGTTCATGGTTTAGCCTTAATCGCTGTGAATTTTGACTTGAGCAATGATCTTTATGGCTACATCGCTAATGGTCCTACCTATTGTTGCTCTTCTACCTTCATTCTTGGGAGTGTTAAGGGTAATGATAGTTGTATGGTTGTCTTTTTTGATGGTTCTGTTTCGGTGTTTGGATGGTGGAGGATCCAGTCGCTGGGGGTTCTTGGTATGTGTTGTTGTCTTGATGGTGATTTTGCCTGATGTTGTTCTGGGCGCCGTTTATGTTTGACAATAGTTAAGGGAATTATTGGTCCATTGGCTGGGATGTTAACTGGAAGCTACTCCTAACAGAATTGTTTTTGTGGTATAATTTAAACTTTACATGGCTTTGGATGGTGGGTTGGGGATCTTTCAAGGTACTTCTTGGTTGGTTTGAAGGTAGAATTGAGCGGCGTGGGGATGCTCCAAATGAGGCTCTTTCGAATAAATTATATCTGAGCTCTTTAGGTCTTAATTCCATGTTTGGCTTTACTGGTCACAATTTTTATTTCTTCTATAGTACTTATAATATCTCTTTTAGCCCTTGTGATTATTTAACATTTCTAATGTGGTGGTGTAGGGTATTCATTTGCATTTGTGTCTTTTTGCAGGAGGAGCTCATGCTGGATCAGTTCAAGGATTTTTGTAGAAAGATTGGGGTTTATAGCAATATTTATATCTTTCTTTTTTGGATGCTAGTCTATAGCATCATTAGCTTATTTTTAGGGTGCATTTACTTTTTTTCTTGCGGAGTTTATTGGTTCATTTATTTTATTTTGAATTATTTTGTTGCTCTCTTGAGCATTGGCGAACTGATGGACTCCCTTTTGATCCTTGTAATCCTTTTTGGCTTTAACACGTAATCTCCCATCTTTGGGGTTTTTATAAAAAAAATAATAAAAAAAAGAAAAAAAAATTCAAAAGAGGGCAGAAAGCGCTGACCAAAAATAATCAAAACTGCAAAAATAGCTTCACGTGCAATCTTAAAATGAGGAATTAGCAACCGGGAACCCCGCACAGAAACAACACCACAACACAACACTCCAATCATAACAGGAGCAGAAAAGAGAAACCAAAGGACAACATATCGAGCCTCATGTAAACCTTAAAGAAGGAAACTCAAGCTTGTCCATTCTCACCAAGCCTTTCAACAAATGTAAATTGGAAAAATCATTATACAACTCAGTGAAGTGAAGGTAAACACCTTTCCTTGACAACTAATCAGCACAAGAATTGCCACTTCTAGGAATATGAGAGATAGTGAACTCAATCTTCTTCAAATAATTCATAATATTCCTAACAATATAAAAAAAGAAGCATTATTGCAATAATTATTCTTAATGAAGTTATCCAGGATTAAAGAATCTTACTCAATACAAATATTCTAGATATTGAATTAGGAGCATAATTTAAGTCTGAGTAAGAGAGCGGTGGCTTCAACATAATCATATTGCCATTAGAAACTTTAGAAGCAAAGTCATATCATATCGCGACAAAAGTTCCTAACAATTTCCCCACATTCAGCACCAGCTTTAGAAAGAGAGTTGTCAACATTTAATTTAAACATGTTAAAAGAATATTTAATCCAATAATATGTATCTACATCGGTTGCATTGATTTTGCAATTTGATCATTCTGTCCCACATCATGTCTCTTTTAAGTGCACTAGTCATACTTACTTTAGTCTGAGGTTTGTTTAGAATATAGTGAGGCATAAAAATATTAAAAGTTGGTATAAATATTTGTGGCACAAAAGTATTACCCTAAGTGCTTCTATTTGCTACTTGACATAATTAAAAAAAGTATTTCTATTGATAATGTAATTCAGAAATTGGATTTTTCTTTAGCTTGCAAATGCAACAGTTGTTCTTCGGAAGTCCTTTGGTCATCTTTTTATTAATGGTCTGATAGATTCTTTTATTTGGAATTGGTTTGCCAGCAAAATTTTCATTTCGTCACCAAATGTGTTTAATATTCAAGCTTTTTTTTACATATTTGTTTCATTGTATTGGTAAGTTGGCTGATGGTCACATTAGGATTTTGTATCCTATTGATATTTTATGATGTATTTGGGTGGAAGGAAATCAATTTAAGTTCAATGGTTTGATGTTTAATTTCCTGCAAATTATTGGGAATGCGGAGTATCATTTTTTTTTTTTAAATTTTTTTTTATGAGAAACCCACAGAAGGGCCTATGCGTTAATTAAATTTAAAAATTACATAGTCCTTAAGGGGACCTCAAGCTCACTAATGCTCAAAGAGCTACAAAAAGAAAGAAAAAAGAAACCTAGGAGCTCGAGCTCCCCACTAGAAATAAGTATAAGAATACCTAAGTACATACTACGGTGCTTAAGCAGGAGCACCCAAAAAGATGGAGTAATAAAAAAACAGGCGAAAAGCTCCCCGCTACTAGTCTTCATGAAAACCTTGCTATCATCCTTCACAAAATAACCTGCGTAAACAACTAATAGGCAAGAGTAATAAAAAAATAAATAAAACAGGAAAAGTTCCTAATCTTGATTCTTTGGACAGCCGAATGAAGGATACAACCGAGCAAACTGAAGCCACCCTAGTCCAAAAAAGAACAAAACCCAGAATTGTAATTCACTCAAAAAGGATACATTCCAAGTTACTCGTCGTGAATAACATGCCAGACATACAAAAACTCTAGAGAACATGCACACAGTAATACCATTCGAAACGTTCAACCAGCAGAGCAGAAGAATACCGTGCACCCCAGCAAACCGATAACTACCTGCAAACCACCAAAAAAACAACCTAGCCAGCATAACCCCATGAACAGAAATAGAAAGAAGGCACCCCAGCACCAACATAACCTCCAACCAGCGGAGTATCAAATTATTATATCCTAAATAATTATGAAAATTGATTACGAGTCTTTAAAGGATCAAATGATTGCTACATCCAAGAAAATACATCCACATCCAAATAAAAGCCTAATGAGCCAATGATCCTATATAATTACAAGAAGCAAATGAAAAAAAAAAAAAAAAGATCAAGGAGGCTAGAAGCCAACCCTAAAAAAAAGCCCTAGCTTAGATCTTTAATATAGCTATACCATGCTTTGGTGAGTTTAAATTTAATTCAGATGGTTAATTTATTAACTTAGATTATTGTGATGGTGGTGTCCTAGTTAGAAATTCATATGGCAAGCTTTTATTTTTTTATTTTTTATATGGCAAACTTATTTTTGCTTATGTTACTCCTTTCAAGATCCTCAATGCATTTTAGGCTTGTTTGAAATCTTTATTGATGCATCTTTTACAGGTGCCCTTCCTTCTTTCTCAAAAGCTTTTGATGTTTGCCGGCCTTCTCTTACTGTGTTATCGGTAGCCATTTCAGTGGTTCTCCTTTTGGCTGCTACTAGGTTTAATTTTCTTCTGAAGCTGATATTCTTCTGAAGCTGATATTCATTTTGTTTATTTGTTTTCCTTTTGGCTGTCACTATAGGTTGGTTATTTTAGTTGGATAATCTCTTTTGGCCTTGCTGATGTTCTTCAATTTCTTTTGGAAGCATTATTGGATGATTGTTGCCCTTCTCTTGGTTTATGTTGGTAGCCATATCTGGTGCTTCTTGGAGTGACTCTCTGCCATTATTTTTCTATCTTTATCTATATATTTTTCTTCAGATGTTGGGGCCTTACAGGTTTTCTTGATGGAGGTATATCTTCCTTGCTTCAAGGGCTCTACAGCGTTATGACTTAGGCTTCATTTGTGACAGTTTTTTAAAATGATGTTTTAGTTAAAAAAATTTAAATTCAATAAATTTTTGTACTAAAAAGCTGTTTTAGAAATAAAAAAAAAAAATTTCAAATGAAGTCTTAGAACTAGTTTCCTTTTGATCATTTCCTTGGAATTTTATTGTATGATTTATGTTTATTTGATTTAGAATATTGGGAGTTTGTTTAGCTCTACTCATGTAAAGTGCTTTTCGCTTAAGCTGGATGTTTTCTTTCTTGTATTGCCTTTCTATTTTATGTTTATTTGAAGCAGTGAGGAGGATGCTCTAATGAAAATTTAGGCTTCGTTTGGGACGGCTTTCTTATTAATTTTTAAAACAGTTCTTTGTTATAAAAAATTTTTGAATTAATTTTTTTTTTTAAAAAAAACATTTTAAAAAGCATTAAGAGAGCCATCCCACGCAATAGTTGGCCATTTCTTTGACTCTTGGTTGACTTTGCATTAGCTTTGGTGGGTACCTTTGTTGTCATTGGGTGTTGGCAAGGGTTGTTTCTTTGTAATGGCTTAGGATTGGTTTGGGAAGAATTTTTACTGATTTATAAAATTGTTAGAGATAAAATAATTTTTTAAAATTGTTGTAGAAAATAATTTTATATTGCAATTTTTTTTTGAAAGCAACATAAAATTAGTGCTCAAATAAAAATATTAGTTATAGTTTAAAAATGAAGCAGTGAGGAGGTTGCTCTAATGAAAATTTAGGCTTCGTTTGGGACGGCTTTTTATTAATTTTTAAAACAGTTCTTTGTTATAAAAAATTTTTGAATTAAATTTTTTTTTAAAAAAAAACATTTTAAAAAGCATTAAGAGAGCCATCCCACGCAATAGTTGGGGGTTCATTTATGTAATCTCAAGTATTTTCATTTGTTTTTCACTCTTTTTGCTTTTGATTTGTATTAGTTGTTATTTACTTTATTTGTGGGAAACTTTTGCTTGCATAGTAAAATTTTAATTTTGTTGAGAAAAAAAAAAAGCTTAGATTACTAAAGTCTTCTTTCTATTAAAAAATAGTGCATTAAGTTTATTGTCTTTTTTAATTATTGTGGGAAACTTTTGCTTGCATATTAAAATTTTAATTTTG